TTGCCATCGCTGTGGGCACTCTCGTGGTTGCAGGGCCCCACTTGGGCCAGTCCTTCCAATGCCAGTTAGGTTCAGAGTGTATTGTCTCAGGCTTACAAGGAGCGCGCCTCTTTCCAGATGACCGGCTTGTGGCCATGAGGCTTTGTGGTACATTGCAACAGGCTCCTGCCTTTGAGCACCTTCCTCCTGTGTTGGCAGTGTACAACCAAACAGCGGACGAGCTGCTTTTTGATTTCGGGTATGTTGATCTCGAGGACACCGCCCCAGAAATTGTACAGTTGTGCTGGTGTGCTGCAGATGACAACTGCGAGTCGGTTGAGGCCTTTCGAGCCCTGGCAATGCAGCTGCACCTGGTGTGCCCACCCGGATGGTATGAGCTTAGTGGCAACATGAGGCGATGCCAGCCATGTCCACCAGGATCCTACTGCCCCGGTGGCACAGCTGCGGAGAGCAAGCCATGCATGTTTGCAAGCACCTCGCCGGCCATGGCACCTGATGCTGATCTTTGCAAATGCCGCCGAGGTTATTTCTGGGATGTGCAGGTTGGCGCCTGCTCAGAATGCCCGGCCGGGTATTTCAAAGCCAGCGTTGGCAACGCATTGTGTCAACTCTGCCCGGCAAACAGCACCTCCACTCCCGGGGCCATCGCAGAGCGAGAATGTTTTTGTAAGGATGGCATGATCGATGTGGATCCGTCCCCAAGCATCACTTGCATCGAAGCTGCGACGTTGGCAGGAAATTCTACAGTCAGCGACCCAGTTTTTGCAGCAACGGTTGCCTTCTCATTTCAATTCAATGGGTCGATGCTTGCGGCTGGGGTAAGCCCTCCGCTGTCAGAGGTGCAGACAGCTGTTGAGGGCTACCTGAGCTTCAGCTCCAGATCAGTTTTGAAGCTTGAGTTGCAGAATGGCAACGAAATCAGGTACCTCTTCGCAAGCTCTGAGAAAGAGGAAGCAGATCGAATGCATGCTCTTTTTCATAAGATGGCTTTTGCTGCTTGGGCCCTGGCTGAGATGAGCAGTACATCCATGGCTTCACTTGAGGTCGCATCCAGGAGCCCCGTTCAAGTTCAGGAATTACACTGCCAGCACGGACAGGGGTTCGCAGAGGGCGCCCGAATAACGACTGATGCAGACTGCCAATGTGCCCATGGACTGGAGCCAACTTCGCTTGCCTCAACAAGCACTTGCGAACCGTGCCCAGTAGGTCGTTACAAGGCAGTGGTTGGCACTGTTGCTTGCTCCAGCTGTTTCACGCTGACGACTCAGCATCGAGGAGCGGTGTCGATCTTTGCCTGCAAATGCCCCCCGGGGTACTTCAACAATGCAGACGCAGATCCTACCAGCTGCGCATTCTGTGGACAGGGTTTCTTCTGCGCGGGAGGAAGCAATAGACAGTCTTGTGACGTTTCTTCTGAGACAACATACAGCGACACAAGTGCCGAAGCGGCAGATTGCGTTTGTGCCAAAGGCTTCTCTCGTGTAGGTGACCGGTGCGAGGCTTGTGCACCTGGTCGCTTCAAACATGAACCTGGCGATAAGCCTTGCTCAGATTGTCCACAGGGCACGTGGAGTGATGTGGTCGGTTCTGAAAGTCTGGAGATGTGTGAAGCATGTGAAAAGGGCTCCACCACTGAAAAACCAGGAGCGGCCAGCGAGTCCTTTTGCATGAGGCCCGAAGGCGGGCAGAGGGTCAAATGTGTTGCTGGCAGGGCCTGTCAAATACGACTCCGTGGGTACAGCCTTCAAGAGGGGCATCGGATGGCACTTAGTGCGGGCCCCTGCCCTCCGAGCAGCCACAGCGTCCCCAGCATCTCGAACAATGGGATATCAGAGCCCGCTGCAGGTGGTGGCACGGTTTACTCATGGGGCCAAGGTCCTTCAGACTTCACTCCTGAGGGGGGGTTCTACACGATGTGCTGGTGTGCCAGTGTCGCGAACCTTCTCTGCCCTGATGATGGCTCAGGATTCGTTATCTCCGCTGGAGTTATGACTGTTGCTGGACCTTTGAGGAGCAATTTTGTGGAATGCGTGCGAGGTCATGATTGCAGGAGCTTGTTTCCATTCAATGGAACTAATCTGTCTGATGAAAATGGCGTATCTGTTCGGCTCGGCTCTTGTGGGAGATCTTCCAGCCTCAAACTTTCGCTAAAAAACATCCATGGCACAGGTTGGCTGGAGAATGGCACTGTTGGTGAGCACGTTCTTTCCTTTGGAACCTCCCTGACAGCAGCGAGGGACTATGGCCTATCCATTGATGCGAGCTTTGGTTACATTCTTTGCTGGTGTGAGAGATCCTGCAACCAGCCCGAAGACTTCATTGTTGATGCTGGCCAGCTTCGTGTTTCTGGTCCCATCACCAATCAAGAAAAACATTGCTATAGAGGGCAGCCGTGTCTTCTGAAGCACATTGATGCTTGGGTAGTCTTTCAGAACACTTTGTATCCTGACTGCTCAGTGCTTCGGTTTTGCCAAGAATGTGGGTGACAAGAGTGAAGCCAAGGAAGGTGTCAATATGGAGGCGGGGGACATGATCAGGATCTTGGAAGAATGTGGTGAAGGCTCCGCTTTATATGATTTTCCTGGGAGCGGTCTTCTGGTGAGCGATGAAGCTTAGACTGCACGTCAGCAACGTTGGGCCAGTTGTTAGATGCTTAAGCTCTTAGCCAGTTGTAATCACCTGTAGGACCCTCAGGTTATGATTGCGTTTATACCGGTGAGCAGTACCTGTTTGAAAGTGCACCTTACCAGAGCCCTGGGCTTGTACACCCCATTCTCACGCTGCGTGTGCTCTAGCCATTGATTTGAGAGGATTACCTTCTTGGAATCATCATGTGCTGCATGCTGCTGGAACATTCCGTAAGGATGGTGAAAACTTTACCTTCCACGTGAACGAATCTCTTCCAGTTGGTGCGGCACCCGGTATCTACCAGATGTGCTTTTGCCGGCCAGATCCTGGCTGGTCATGTGAGAACGTGTCAAGCTTCATGGTCATCGTGGGCCCAATGTTCGTTCACGGACCTTTCGAGCGGATCACAGATTGCACGGTTGGTGCTCTTTGCACTGTGAGCTTTACGGGTATTGCCTTATCAGAGGGAGATGTACTCCGAATTGTCAGATTAAGCGAGGATTCAGCAAACATCTGCAGCAACACAACGTATTATCTGCAAAATGCGACACTGGCCCCAGACGTTTCGAGAGGCTTAGGCTTGCATATCGATTTGGGTGTCCTCGGCATGAACACCGCAGGAACCTATCAAGTGTGTTGGTGCCCTGTACAGGAAATGTGCCTGTCAAGTTCTTCCTTCCAAGCTCCAGCAGGAATTTTACGAGCAAATTGTCCTGCAGGCTACTACTTCAGAGGATTGAATTGCAGACTCTGTGGAAGTGGCTACTATTGCCCAGGAGGTGAACCAGCATTTGCGGTCAGACTTCCTTGCAGGGAGGGGGAGACAACTGTAGGTCCGACTGCATCGGCGGATAGCGAATGTCAATGTTCAAAGGGATACTATTCCTTTAAGGGCACGTGCGTCGTCTGCCCCAAAAATTTCTTCAAGCCCAACATCAGCAGCGAAGAGGAATGCACAGCATGCCCTCCTAATCAGACAACATTCACCCAAGGTGCGATCTCCATTTCTTCTTGTGTCGGAGCAAATGTGACAGCTAGCAATGTATCAGCTGCTCCAGCTGTTAGCTTCCGCTTATCTGTCACAGCCGACTCTTCTACCAACCTAACAGACGAAGATTTGTGGAAGCAGCTGGTCGACACGTTGCGGATAAGCATAGGCAGCGCGAGCCGAATGGATGTGGATTCTCTCAGCATCAGCTTGGCGCCTGCTTCCAGTTCTGCTGCCAGACGCTTATCAGAGCCTTTGGAGGTGGTGATACGAATCAGATACGCCACAGCACTTCTTGCAAATATCTCAGCGCAAGAGCTGGATGTTGATGACTTGGCCATGGACATTGACAGTGCTCTGCAACAAGACCCAGCATTGAGCAACTTGCGAGTGGATGTGTCGGATCTTGGCACAGAGATGGTGCGTATAGAGTGCCCAAACCATGCCAGCCTACCACCCGGAGTCCTGGCAACACATTCCGGTGACTGTGCATGCCGGCCAGGCTACGCGCATGATGCAGTTAGCCAGACGTGCAGTCCGTGTGCCCAGGGTCGATTCAAATCATCCTTGGCAAACGCAGAGTGCGAAAACTGTGATCCTGGAAGATGGACGCTGGAGGATGGTCAGTCGGATCCAGCTAATTGCTGGTGCAATGCAGGGACGTATGAGAACGAGAGCGGTACGTGCGAACCTTGTGACATTGGTTATTACTGCGACGGGAGAAATTATCAAACACTTTGCCCGCCAAACTCCACAACAATTTCCATGCTGTCTACAGCTAAAGCAAGCTGTCAGTGTAAAGAGGGGCACCAGAGGGTGAGTGGCGCAGTCGAGATGACTTGTGAGCCATGCGCCCCAGGGCGATTCAAGGAAGTTATTGGCAATGATGAATGCACCCAAACTTGCCCGACAGATGCTACAAGCAGGCCCGCAGCTAGCCGGAAAGAAGACTGCTTTTGCGAGCAGGGCTTTCACGCGGACTTGAAAGATCAAAATAGGAAGGATATCGAACGTTGTATCGATTGTGGTCCATACAATGGCTTGATCTGTCAGGGTGGCCTTGATGAAGAGGGTCAACATGTGCAGCCGAAGGCTGTTGCAGGATGGTTCCAGACTGGTAGGTCCTCGGCCCTGCCGTGCCAAGTGACACGAGATGGCTTCAGTGTTTGCCTCGGCAATACTTCTGGAGGCCATATTGAGCCATTTGCCGGCTTTCCCAATGCGTGCGCTAATGGATCTACCGGCATGCTTTGTGGTGAGTGCCCAGCAGGATGGGCCAGAGGGGCGTACTTGGAGCCTTGCGAACCTTGCGACGCACATAGTGCGCTCGCGTTTGGCTTGGCCATTGCTGCAGACCTGGGTCGAACCACGCTGCAGAACTTCGTCAAAGCAGCAATGGCTGCAGGAGGAGCCGGAACGCTGAAGCCGTTGCACACGGTGACGCTACGGAATTTCCAGCACTGGGTGGATGCTTGCTCCATTCTAGCGGACTTTAACTTGACACGGATGCGGCCGTTCGACTTCTCCCTGGGCGATAAGACCGAACAACCAGAAGCTGGGGAGCCCGTTGCAATGCCGCATTTTGCGTGGCCCGCGGCAGCTACAGATGCCATGACTCTGTGGTTTCACGCTTTGTCCCTGGTTCCAAGAGTGAATGTGGACTTTGCGGCACAATGCCAGGCTGACGCCTGGTTCGGAGGAAGCCAGGCGGCCAAGCGGGTTGTCCCAGCCGTGTATTACCTGACCCGTCCTGTCTTGACATTCTTAGGCAGCATCATCATTTGCCTGCTTGTGGTCTACGTTGCAATTCCTTTAATAAACATGACCGGCTTTGCCATCAATGAGCGAGCAGGGCTGATCAAAAAAGTCACGAACCGATTGCGGAATGCTGCATTGAAATTGAAAGCAAACGATGAGGCTTCCCACACGGGTGATTCCCAGGGCCAGGTATGTTACCTCAGCAAATACCTGCCTGGCATGGATTTGAGCGACTGGAACGTGGGCTACAAAGCCTTGGCGGACGTTCCAACTTCGGTTTTTGAAGTTGTCACTGGTCAGCAGAGGAGCTTAGTACATTCGCCAAAGCATACCTTTAAGCCTTAAGCATTTGCAGCCTAAGGGCATACTAAAGTCTCCTGGGGCAAGCGTTGCATTGTCTCCTCCAAGGCTTGTGAGGATGCTATTGCAGAGGAGCTTGTGGACTACTGGGTCCTGTGCGCCTTGAAGAAGAAGATGCAAGGTCCGGTTTGCTGCGTGGTTTAGGGTTTTGGGTTGAGGCTTAAGGGCTTAGGGTCAAGGGTTAAGGGTTTAGGGTTGTCCTTGTTGAAAGAGGACCTCAATATAGAATAATTTAGTTGCCAGTATATCCATTATAGTCGCTTTCACAGGGTGGGAGGTCCGCCTAACGCATAAGCGAACAGGGTTGATTTGTAGGGAGCTGGGCCAGTCGCTCGGACGCAGGCCACGAAGCGAAGCAGAAAAGCCGATGTCGGAGATGGTGCGGATTTCTCACTTTCAAGGATGGCGTGGGCTCTGGCCGAGCTACGTTTCTCATGGCCCAGCCGTCAGATGATCCGGCCAAGGGCCTGTGTCCAAATTGCAACTGTGCTTGGTGCTCAACCTCTGGCATCGCGGCAGCACGCAGAGGTGCATGACCGTCTTGTATCCTTGAGCTTAGGCCCACATAAGCATGAGCACTTGATCGCTGCTGCTCAGGTCGCAGTTCAGCGAAAGATGCCAAATCGTTGAATTTCAACTTGTTCAGTCCGTCACCCGGGTTATGGGAGTTCCTGAGCGATGCTAAGCCTGTACTTCTGTTGACGCAACTTGCAATTTGGCCTGACATGCTTGCCAACTTCCTGCAGATGATCCGTTGCTCACCTATGCCCAGTGACAGCCCTGAACCTGAACACCGCCTGCTTCCACATCCTAATGTAGTCTGCTGGGGCTCAGAGCATGAGCCTTTACGACAGATTGCATTCTGGGGGCTTGGTGTGTGGTGCTGTGGCATTCCTCTCGCCCTTGGTCTGCGAATAAGATGCCTGAAAGGCGAGATGAACGATGCGATGAACTATCGAACCTACGGATACTTCACGGTGGGCCTTGAGCCCGATTTCTGGTATTGGGATCTGCTGATCCAGAGGGCTGACGTTGCCTTAATGCTTTTTGTCGCCTACACGTCCATTTCTGACCATGAAAGCGCCAAGCTTCTGCTTTTTCCAATCATCTCCGGGCTTATGCTTGGAGCAACTGCCTGGGTAAAACCTTATGAGAATGAGCAGGGCGAGATGTTGGACTTCTTAGCAGCTTTGCTGCTGACATCTCGGTTTATATTATACAGCACGGTGGCTGTCTTACTCATTTCTTTCCCATCAGGCAACATCGTCGTTTCTGTGTCTGCTCTCCTGCTGCTGGCGATGCTGATTTCGACCAGCTTATATTGTTTGCTACATTTTGTGAGCCAGTACTTGCGTAGCTCAGCTCGCAATCCTGACATCGACAATAGCCAGGACGGGTGTCAACCTAGACAAGAGCAGAGGGCTTCAGGGTGATTGGGCATCCTGAGAGGAGGAACCCACCCTTCTGAAGGCTCCGAGCTGTGGTCGCTACTTGCTGAAACATGTTTGACAGCTGTAAGAATCAACGATTTGCCAGGTGAAGGCCAGAGCCATCACTGGAGACGGTACCAGAACCCCAGAGGCTGGGTCAGTGAGACACTGGGTGACTAGACCCGGGGGATCCCGGCGGTGAACACCGGAGCCAGCACGCCCGTATCCCTTGTCAATCCCCAAGACCTTCATGGCACCAGAACCCCAAAGTCCCTGCGGGGAGGTGGCGCTGTGCCAGTGGCAGGAAGACGTCAAAGAGCTCTCGGAGTTTTTCAACAAGAAAGACTGACATCGAGTTTGGTTTAGGGCCTTGGGGTTGAGGGATTTTGAGGGTTTGGGGATGTTTATGGGTTTGAACGCGTTGAGGCGGCGGTTAGACTCTTGCAGCTCTCGTGAGGCAGTTGGTTGGACTCAACTTTTTGTTCCGTGAAAGTCTCTGTATAAGCAACCATGTTAACCCATCTGTATCTGTTGTTCCCT